CAGAGTTTGTGAAATTAGATATTTTTAAATAGCAGTTCCAACTGCATGCTACTTATAAGAAATGTATAAATAGGTTAAAAGAAAAAGGATGGGAAAAGATATACAATGTGAACATTAATAAAAAGAATCTGAGCGGCCATATAAATATAAAAGTAGATTTCAAGCAAAGAATATCATCAGGGATAAAGAAGGACATCTCAAAATGATAAAGGGCTCAATTTTTCAAGAGAACATAACAATCCTAAATAAATGTATGTGCATCTAATAAAAGAGCTTCAAAATACTGAAGCAGAAATTGGCAAAACTATAAGGAGAAATAGATAAATACACATTTAGAGTTATAGATTTCAATACCTTTCTCTCAATAATTGATAGACAAGTAAACAGCAAATCAGAAAGGATGTAGAAGACTTGAACAATACTATTAATAAAATTTAGCTACTTGGCATTTATAGAATACTTCACCCAGAAACAACAGAATGCACATTTTTTACAAGGGCACTTGGAACATTTTCTAAGATGTAATATATTCTGGGCCATAAAACAATGCTTAACTTTAAATAAATTCAAGTTATTAAAAGTATGTTTTCTGAAAAAAAATTACAATTAAAATAGAAATCACTAACAGAAATGTATCTGGAAAATTCCCAAATATTTTGAAACTAAATAATTCATTTTTCAATAACTCATTGGTCAAATAATAAGTCAAAAGGTAAAAAAAAAATTATTTTCACATAATGAAAATGAAAACACCCTATATCAACATTTGCAAGATGCCACTATAATAATCTTAGAGGGAAACTTATGGCACTACATGTCTGTTTTAGAAAAAAGGAAAGATCTTGAGTCAATGGCCTCAACTCACACTTGAAAAAAGCAGAAAAAGAAAAGCAAATCAAACGCAAGTAAGAATTAAAAGGGAAATACTAAAGATCAAAGTGAAAAATCCATGAAATAGAAAAACAATAAAGAAAAGTCAATAAACCAAAAGCTAGTATTTTAAGTAGATCAACAAAATTTAAAAACCTCTTGTCAGACTGATCAGGAAAAGAGTATTAAGACACAAATTACTCAATATCAGGAATGATAAAGATGACATCACTCAGATTCTACAGATATAAAAGGATAATAAGAAAATATTATGAACAACTTTAAGCCTATAAATTAGAAAACATAGATGAAATGGACAAATTCCTTTAAAGACACAAATTATCAGAGCTCACTTAAAATATAATAATAACATGAATTGCCCTCTATCTATGGAATAAACTGAATTGTAGCCAAAATGTACTCATGAAGAAAACTGCAGGCTGAGATGGCTTCACAAGTGAACTCTACCAAACATTAGGAAAGAAGGAATAACAATCCTCATAAACTCTTCAAGAAAATTGAAGTGAATACTTCCAATTCATTTTATGAGTCCAGCATTGCCCTGATTCCAAAGCCAGGCAAAGAAAACCATAGACAAGTAACTTTCATAAACAAAATGCAACAAGTTTTAAAGAAAATTTTGCAAATTTAATCCAACAATATATAAAAAGGATAAAACATCATGGCCAGATGGGGTTTATCCCAGGAATGCAAGGTTGGTTTGATATGCAAACCCTAATCAAGACAAGTCGCTGTATCAACTACAAGAGAAAAACCATTTGATCATCTCTATAGGATGCAGAAAAAACTTGGCCAATTTTAACACCCATTCCTGATTAAAAACTTAGAAAACTAAGAACGGAAAAGTACCTTCCATCTTGTGTAAGGTCAGCTATGAAAAACCTACGGTTGATATCATATTTCATGACGAAAGATGAAATCTTCTCACACTAACGTCATGAACAAGGCAAGGAAGTCTGTTCTCATTACTCTTTTGGTAGATAGAACTGGAAGTGCTATAGCCAGCACAAAAGGCAAGAGAAAGAAATAAAAGGCATGGACTGTAAAGAGCCACAGTTGGCATAATTATGTATGTATGAAGTTGCCGAGAATCTACGAATAAAACACTAAAAAGTGAATTTAGCAAGCTTGCAGGACACAGGACACTATAAAACATTATTGTATTTCTATGTGCCATATACCCAAAATACACACACACACACACACACACACACACACACACACTCGGACAGCTGCTTTTTGACAAAGGTGCAAAAGCAATTAAATGGAGAAAGGACAGCCTTTTCAACAAGTGACACTGGAACAAGTGGATGCCCATGTGCAAAAGAATCAACTTGAGTCCATAACATGCATCATATAAAAATAATTCAAGATGGGTTATAGATCTCAACGTAAAATCTGAAACTATAAACCTCTAGATGAAAAACATAGGAGAAACTCCTTGTGATCTTGAGTTAGGCAAAGAGTTTTTAGCTGCGACACCAGATACACAATACATAAAAAAATAAATTGATAAATGGAACTTTATCAAAATTAGAACTTGTGCTCTTTGAGAGACACTGTTAAGAGAAAGAAAAGACAAATCACAGATTGGGAGAAAATTTTTGCCACGTATATATCTGATAATGCACTTATGTCTAGAATATATAATGAACCCTCAAAACTCAATAGTAAGAAAATAGCCCAATTAAAAATAAAATGGACAAAAGATTTGAACAGACATTTTCCCAAAGCAGTTATATGGATGGCAATGAGCACATGAAAACATGCTTAACATCATGAGTCATTAGGGAAATGCAAATTAAAATCACAATATGATACCATTACACATATTTCAGAATGGCTAAAATTAAAAAGACTGACAATACCAAGTGCTGGAGAGGATGTGGAAGGTATTAATCCTGATACGCTGCTGGTGGAATGTAAAATGATACAACCGCTTTGGCAGTTTAAAACTTCTCAAAAAGTTAAACATTTACCACGTGTCCCAGACATTCAGTTCCAAGAGAAAAGGCAGCAGATGTCTACACAGAGACTTGTACACAGATGTTCACAGCAGCTTTATTTGTAATAGCACCAAACTGGCAACAACCAAAATGTCCATCCACAGGTGAATGGAAAAACAAATTGTGGTAACATCTGTACAATGGACCACTTCTCAGAAAAAAGAAAAGAAAAAAGAAAGAAATGATTTATTGATAAACACAATACGGATAAATCTCAAAAATAACTATGTTGGTACAAATAACAAATGCTGGAGGGCATGTAGAGAAAAGGGAACCCTCCTACACTGTTGGCGGGATTGTAAGTTGGTGCAGCCACTATGGAGAACAGTATGGAGGTTCCTCAGAAAACTAAAAATAGAATTACCATATGATCCAGCAATCCCACTCTTGGGCACATATCCAGACAAAGCTCTAATTCAAAAATATACATGCACCCCTATGTTCATAGCAGCACTATTCACAATAGCCAAGACATGGAAACAACTTAAATGTCCACGACAGATGAATGGATAAAGAAGATATGGTGCATGTATACCATAGAATATTACTCAGTCATAAAAAAGAAAGAAATAATGGAATCTAAAATATGACAAAAATGAACCTATCTATGAAACAGAAACAGAATCACAGGCACAGCGAACAGACTGGTAGTTGCCAAGGGGGAGGGGGTGGGGGGAAGGATGGAGTGGGAGGTTGAAATTAGCAGATGTAAGCTTTTACATATGGAATGGGTAAACAACAAGGTCCTACGGTATAGCACAGAGAACTATATTCAATATCCTATGATAAACCATAATAAAAAAGAATATTAAAAAATGTATATATGTATAACTGAATCACTTTGCTGTACAGCAGTAAACACAACGTTGTAAATCAACTATACTTCAATAAAAAATAAGTATAAATTTAAAAAAATAATGTTGAGTGAAAGAAGTCAGGCAAAAAAAAAAAAAAGACTACATACTGTATATTCCATTTGTATAAAACTATAGAAAATGAAAATCTACAGTGACGTGAAACAAACGAATAGGGATGGAGGGGAAAGAGAAGGGAAGCCTGGGAGAGATGACAAACGTACAGGGGGTGATGGAGATGTTTACTATACGGATTGTTGTGATGGTTTCATGGATGTATACATATGTGAAAACTTACTTTGTATATTTTAAATAGGTGCAGTTTTTTGTATGTCAATTATACTGCAGTGAAGCCGCTTTACAAAAATAAATAAGGTCACGGAAAGTAGAAGGACTTTACTCTCCTAAGACTGTACTCCATCTGGTCTGCAAACAGGTGCACACAAAATCTGCACACTTAGCTGGAGCCTACCTGACAACACCTCTGCAACATTATGCAAATCACCGTGAGAAAGAAACAACAATTACGTTAGAAACCACCAGAACGTGGTTGTGTCCACACACATTTTTTTGTTTGTTTTCAGATCTGGGTTGTCTTTAGCATGTGGCTGTCAGTTAACCCAACTCGGGGCTTTTCTCGTCGGTTTAGAGAATCTGAAATTGAGCTCTGCTGGGGTTAAGTCCATGTGGTGGTTCATGGGTGTGGAAAGTACCTACAGCTGACCACAGACTAGAGTTCCCTACAGCTACATTAGTCTCGGAACTAACTGTTGTCTCCTAAGTTGTTTGTTTTTAAAAGAATCCCATAGTCTTCATTTTAATTGCTCTTAAATAATCTATGAAATATGCTTCTTTTCTGTTCTTGTCAGTTCCTAACTTCAGATTTTTCTTTCTGCATCCCGGGGGAGATCTTGCTCTCACTAAAGAATGATTCCAACATCATGTTCAGTCTCTCCTTCTCTTTTGTGCTTCCCTGAGCAGACCTCCCAACCCAACTGCTGTGAAGGGGCCCAGATCTAAGGGCTGTTCTTGGTGCCCCAAACGTGCCAAGTCTTGTCACTAAGGTGGCCCCGTCTGGGCATAGCCATCTAAAGCAACAGTCTACTTCTTATCAGAAAATCTTGTGCTTCAACAAAGCCTTTTCTAGAATTAACCACGCCATGGTGAGGTGTGGAGGAGGGGCAGAGCACCCCTGGGCCTGGGTTTACAGAACCCCTCATCAGCTCTGCACCTCATCTCTGTTTTGCAGCATTGCTCAGGGAACCACTGGACTTTGTATCTGTGGAAGAAGGGGGAAGAGATCACTGACTGCATTTCTGTCCCTGTGCTGAAAAGGATGCTATGTCAGAGAACCATTCCAGCAAACTTCAAAGGTCAGTATCCCCCATGTTACAGATGAAGGTCAGAGAGCCTCAGCAGCTCACATGCCCCAGGTCTCAGTGGGATGGGCAGAGCAAGGATTCGAACCCAGGCCAGAGGACCCACATGCTTTCCTCAGCTCAGCATCCTGCCTCACCATGACTGCTGGGTCACCACCACTCTCCATGACCACCCGTTCATTGCTCCGCACTACTGCCGGGTCACTATTCCCCACTGGTCTGATCCTCCAGGTTTCCCTATAAATAAACCCATTTGTCCATGAAGTCAAGGAGGCAGGCAGGGGCCCTTCACATAGGACCTTTTAGGCTATGGTAAAGAGTTTAGACTTTAGTCTAAGAGAGGGTTTTGCTTAGAAGGAGAGATAGGATCAGATCCTTCAAGAAAAGATGCTTATAAGACTAGGATACAACCTAAATGTCCATCGACAGATGAATGGATAAAGAAGATGTGGTACATATATACAATGGAATATTACTGGCCATAAAAAGGAATGAAATAATGCCATTTGCAGCAACATGGATAGACCTAGAGATGATCATACCAAGTGAAGTAAGTCAGAAAGAGAAAGACAAATACCAGATGATATGACTTATATGTAGGATCTAAAGTATGACACAAATGAACTTGTCTACGAAACAGAAACACTCACAGGCATAGAGAACAGACTTGTGGCTGCCAAGGGGGAAGGGAGGTGGGGGAGGGTTGGGCTGGGAGTTTGGGATTAGCAGATGCGAGCTATTATATATAGTATGGATAGACCACAAGGTCCTACTGTAGAGCACAGGGAACTGACTATATTCAATATCCTGTGATAAACCATGATGGAGAAAAAAAAAAAACAACAGAAATAAAGGATGCTTAGGGACCAGTCCAGGCTCCAATGCAGTAGCCCAGGCAAGAGAGGATAGTGTCTTGGACTTGAGTGGTGATAGTAAGAATGAAAAAAAGTGGAGACACTCAGAAATTGTTTCAGAGGTGGAGTCAAACTAGACTTGTTGAAGAACTAGATGTGGGGAGTGAGGATTACGAGCAGAACCAAGGCTGACTCGTAGGATTTTGTCTTCAGAAATTTGAAAAGCCAAGACGAACAAGAGTGAGGTAAAATCAGACTTGGGAAAATCTTGTGCTTCGTTTGGGACAAATCTAAATTTGAAATGCCTGCTGAAATAGAAGTAGAGTAGACCATGGAATATATGAGTATGGACTCTGGATGGATATAGAAATTCAGGAGTCATGAACACATTGATTGTAAACATAAAGCCATGAGAGTGGATGAGATCACCAAGGGAGACATTGTGCATAGAGAAGAAAGAGGGGTAAGAAATGAACCCTGGACAGGGCAGCACTTAGAGCAGAGGCAACAGATGCAGCCAAGAAGACTAGGAAAGGACAGTCAGTGCAGGAGGAGGAAAGCAGAGAGCATGTGGTGTTCTGGAAGCAAAGAGAATAAAGGGCATCAGAAAAGAGGTGTGGTCAGTTGTGTCAAATCAGATGAAGACAGACTTGTCCACTGAATTTGGTAGCAACAAATCATGGCAGCCTGCCATATAAATGGTTACATCCAAAAATATCTAGAAAATATTGTTCATCCTCCACACATTTAATAAGCACTATGTGTGAGATATGCTCTCAGGTACTGGGAAACAGAGATTCATAAGACATGGTCTCTGTTCTCAAGGAGTTTACAGTGTTGAGGAAGAAAGAGGCAATAGCCACCGCTGGTACTGCAACAGCCCTGTACGTCAGTTTGCCAATAGGACACTGCAGCAGGGAGAGGTCAAGGGATGCCTCAGATTTTCGACGACGAAGCCCAGGCTTAAATGTAACATAAAACATCCAAATAGGAATTCGCTAAGGTGACAGCAGTGATTTGACAAATCAACAACAGTTTGGCCAGAAAGCAAACGTTTGCAGTTGAGGCAGACTTCAGCACACAGGGAAGATGCTTTCCACTTTGTGAGATGTGTTCCGGTTGGTGGAAGACTGTGCGAATTAGGTAGACTGAGGGAAAGACTAATTGATTTAGGAGCATACAATCAAGACAACTGGATAGCCTAGTGAAGCTCGCAGAAAACAAGAATATACAAGTATAAGGAAGATAAAAATTAGATTTAACTTCGTGGCCATTGTGTCTGAGTAGAAACTGATGTATAAACGAAGACAGCAGAGTGACAAAGACAAGTTGCAAAGTAGGAACCCAGGGGCAGGAATGTGTTAAGTCCGGAAAAAACATAATGATCTGCTTTTCCATGTGGGATTATAAAAGGTTTTAACTGAACACCAGCTAAAATGGTAAAAGAAAAACAGACTGCAAAGAAAACTCAAGAAGCCCACCGAAGAGGGAACTTGGGGGCCCAGTACATACTTGCGGATCCCTAACCTTCCCCATCAGCAACAAATGCATGTAATATACATTAAATAAAAGTGAGGTTGAGAGTTGTTTGCCCAAATTCCATTATCTGACATTATACCTCAGAATTCCTATTGATTTTGCCAGAAATATAACTACTGTAATGGATCTAGAAAATGCCTAAATGGTATTTTCCATCCGAAAATTGTTCTAATTAACTTTTGATCTTTTGTCCAGTTAGATTTTAAAAATTTCTTATGTCAAATCTTGTTTAAACTATTTCTCCTCATCATAATAGAAGAAACTTATGTCTTCATTTTTATTACCTAGTGGCTTTGAAGATTTTTTTAATACTGAATTTTCATTCTTATCTTTTGGACTGGTTATTTGAAAAATTATGATTTTAATGCAGATAACCTGGAAGGGATAAAAGTATAACTCCGAGTAATTTTCATATTGCTGCCAGTAGAAAAGTAATACACAATGCCAATCTATTTTGGCAAAAAAATATTTTTAATGGGCAAAAGACTTGAGTGACCAGATGCCTCATAAAAGAGGATATCTAAATGGCCAATAAGCACGGGAAAATGTTCTCAACCCATTATTCATGAGAGAACTCTAAATTAAAGCCACACATGAAATATCACCATAAATCCACTCAAATGGCTAAAGTTAAAGAGATGGACAATACTAAAAGTTGGCAAGATGTAGAAAAAGCAAAGCTCTCACGGCTGGTACGGATGCAAAATGGTACAAGACCACTGAAAAATGTTTGGCATTTTCTAGTAAAATAAACATTTCCCTCCTGAATCACCCAGCAACTCCACTCCTAGGAATTTATCAAAGAGAAGTAATAGTAAATGTCCACCAAAATGTTTATAAGTTTAATTTGTGGTAGCTAAAAATAAGACACAACCCATATATCCATTAAATGTCTATCAAGACACACTCTAAATTGCAGTGTAGCCATACAATGGAAAACAACTTAGCAATGAAAAAGAGCAAACTACTAAGATCCATGTAATTTAAATTGGGATGAATCTCAAAAACATTATGCTGAGTGAAAGAAACTGAACACAGAAAGACTGTATCGTGTGATTCCATTTTTATGAAGTTCAAGAACAGGCAAAACCAATACTATGATGATAGAAGTCATATAGTAGTTACCTCTGGGGAGATGTTGACTGAAAGGGCCAGGAAGGAACCCCCTGGGGTGATGGAACTGCTCTGGATCATGATCTAGGTGGGAATGCATAAGTAAGATTTGCACATTTTACTGTATGTAATGTATATCTCAATTTTAAAAAATATAGAATGAATCACAGATGTAGAAAACAAACATATGGTTACCAGGGGATAAGGCAGGGAGGGGGGTGATAGATTGGGAGACTGGGATGGACATATACACACTACTATATATGAAATAGATAACTAATAAGAACCTGCTGTAGAGCACAGGGAACTCTACTCAGTACTCTGTAATGACCTATATGGGAAAAGAATCTAAAAGAGAGTGGATGTAGGTATATGTACAACTGCTTTACTTTGCTGTACACCTGCAACTAACACAACATTGTACACCAACTATACTCCAATAAAATTTTTTTGAGAAAAAATATACAATGAAATACAGGTCGGGGGCAGGGAGCTATGTTTTTTTCATTTTCTACCATGTTCCAGAAGGGATCTCTTCTGGGGAGGCTGAGCCTCCAATAGCTTGAAGAACGGGTCCAGGCCCAGAACTGGCTTAGAATCAAAGTCTGGCTGGTCTTCTCCTCAGTGACTGAGAGCAAGGCCTCTCTCGACTTGAAAGCACCCTAGCTCCAGCCTGTTGGCCTGCAAGTGATGACAGGTTTCTCTGTAGAAAGTGCTGGAAGGCTGCCCCTCCCTTCATAGCTGGCCTCAGAAGCCATCGATAGCACCTAACCACAGCCCAGGGGACTCTCCACGCCTGGCTGTAATTAGATAACAGCGGGGTGACCTCTCAGAGGAGAAGCAGGTTTGCTTTGAGACTTCATGCATTGAGCCAGGACCACTTGCCCCTGCTGGTCTTCTTGGGCAGAACTGGGTGTCAGCGGCCATGGGCACAATTCTTAGTTATCGGGTTACACTGGCCCGGGCCTATGATCAGTAGCTTTCTTTCTCATGTGCTAGTGCCTTTAACCCACATTGTAGGTCAGGACTCTTACCCCAAGTGGTAGAGGCCACTCATACTAGAGGGCTGGTCCGTGAGTTCAAATCTCTCCCTCATTCTCCTTCCCCACCTTCCTCCCTCTCTCCCTCTCTCTCTTCAACTCCATTTTTCTCTGTACTGACTTTATTCTCTGGACCACTTTCTTGCCTGCTCCTGACTTTTTGGATTCAGAATAAGAGACCTTCTCTGGCCCAGGGTCCATACCAGTTATCCCCAAAGGACTCTTATTGAGCCATGCCAGGGCCAATCACTGCAGCTCAGGCATGGGGCTTTCTGATTGGTCGTTGTGTTATGGGCTCACCCCCTTGATTGACAGTCCCACCCCTGCAGCGGGGGAAAGGGCTGAGCCCGACGGAAAGCTAGGCCATGCGTACAGAGGAGTTTCCAGTGTCCATTCCATATGCCCATTTCACAGACAGGCACCCAAGTACCTGAGCCCAGATAGTGTATCCGTAAGTAACAGAACGAAGATTTGAGACCAGCTGCCCATCAGGGTACATGAACTGGAAACCACCAGAAGCCTGTCTCCATCCCACTTAGGGGAATCAAGCCCAGCGTTCCCCAGCTTGCTCCACTGAAACAGAAAGACGCCATGGGGAAGACACAGCCCTAGTCCAAACTCCCTCCCCCGTCCATCACCCACACTCGCTGGTGATAACAGTAGGACGGTTTCTCTCTGCGAAACGAATGAGATTGATCTGGGCGCTTATTAAAGGAAGGGGTAGATGTTCCATTTGGGGATGGGGGAGCAGAAAGGATTTCCCTGCTGTTAGGGAGATACACAGTGGGGAGGGGGGACCCCGGCTGGGAGGAGAGGGCAGGGGACAGACCCCACAGGCTCTCTTCACTCTCCTGGGAAGAGAAGTTAGGGCTGTGGAGGGGAGTCAGGGAAATGAGGGGTCATGTTTTCCGTGTGTTTGGGACACTGGTTGAGAGAGAGCCCCTTCAGACAAGGTGCGGCCACCCTGGGGCTCATGGCAGGAAATAACAAGGCTCCTCTGTTTTAGCACTTGCCCTTGGGCATCAGTGTCAGTTGACAGTCCAGGACATAGGGGTCTTTTCCTCAGAGCCTGAGTGCAACAGCTTCCCGGGCTATATACACCCAAACTTCTGAGGACCTCTCCCACAGGTTATGATTTTTAGGCTGTCAGCGGTGAGATCGATTTCTGCCAGGGCTCATGGGAAGGGGAGGATTCAGAAAAAGCCTTCCAAAAGTGGCAACTCCTAAACTGGGTTTTGAAAGATAAATAAGAGTGTTCCAGTTGGCCATGATGGGATGGGGGGCAGAGCATTCCAGGCAGTGGGTTGGCATAGTTCTGGGAGTTGTTGGTTCTTTATTCTTGTGGAAGGTAAAGGCTAGGTCCCCGACAGAGAGGAGAAGAGAGGAAAGCAGGGCAGGAGGCAGATCCCCTGGCCCCCTGGCTCACGCCACTCCCCAGATTCAGTTTGAGTCCATCTGTATGACTACTGCCATTTGCCACCACCTAGATCACTATCGACTTAATATTTTTCTTCCAATCAACTAAAAAATAAATTTTATCCTACTACCAAAAATGGAAGACCATCTTACTTGTCCTAAATAGAAGATAACCATAAAAATAGAAATATAACCATCAAAATAAAAACATTCACCCTTATGCCACCTAAAGCCATCTGGTATGTTATATACCATGTTTTGGAAAACTGCCATGAGCCACAGGGAGCCAGGGAAGGATCTGAAGCAAGAGTATCACATGATCAGATCTGTGCTTTAAAAAGACCAGTTTGTTGGGAGGGCCGTGAACAAGCAGAGGGCCAGGCCAGAGGAGAGAGCAGTTAATCAGTGGTCTATTGTTACAAACCCCGTACAGATGTCCTTAAAAAGAAAGCAAAGTTTTTTATTCATATGTCCTTAAAACTAAATTGGGCATCCTTTTCTAGAAGCTCACTATTACTAGCAACTGGGAATTATGAAAATGGCCATTTGGTACAAAGAACCATTTTACGATGAATGGCCAGTCCAATTCTGGTCTCCCTTTGAGGGGTGAGTTTAGATTCTGGGCTCTCTAAGATCTTTGGGTGAAGAAGTGAGCAAAAACCTCTCCCCTCTTTTCAGGGTTGAACTCACGCAGAGAGGGAACTGGAGACTGCTGACTGTGGTGTGTAAAGTCATCGACTGAAGAGGACCAAGGAGCTTATCTGAAGGAGGTACATCCTTCATCCTTTCCCCACTCAAGGGACTGAAACCGGGCTCCCCCACAGTGCCTGGCCCATGGCTGGCCCTGGGCATCTCACATTCGTCGTTTGCAGCGATAACAGAGGAGTGACAGTCTTGTGTGCAGGCCTGAATGCCAGGGCATCTCACAGAAGTTTCACTGCTGTGATGGCAAATTTTGTGTGTCAACTTGGTGAGGCCACGGTACCCCCTTGTCTGGTTAAAAACCATCTAGACGTCGCTGTGGAGGTATTTTTTAGGTGCGATTGATGTTTAAATCAGTAGACTTTGAATAAGGCGGAGCCGATTACCCTCCATAACATGGGTGGGCCTCATCCAATCAGTTGAGGGCCTTAAGAGAAAAGACTGAGGTTTCCCGAAGAGGAAGGAATTCTGCCTTCAGACTACAACAAAGAGATTCTGCCTGAGGTTTTAGCCTTTGGACTCAAGACTACAACATTGACTCCTGCTGGAATTTCCAGGCTGCCAAGATGCCCTGTAGATTCTGGACTATCTGTCTATCTATTTATCTATCTACCATCTAGCTAGCTGGCTATCTATCTATCTATCATCTAGCTAGCTGGCTATCTATCTATCTATCTATCATCTAGCTAGCC